TTCAGGCCCGACAACGTTATGCACTGTGACGAGACACAAGACGCTAGCTTTTCTGACGGTGCTCTCCGCATTTTCGTAACCCTGAAAATTTCAACAAAACAATAATACAATTAATAATTAACAAAAAATATAATTATACAACACTGTGATTTCCCAAAAAATATTAAAACAATATATAAACCAGTCAAGCCCTATACCAACAAATCTTCGAACGAACAGGCAAATAAAGTTGGTCAAAATTCAGCGGCCTAACTGTATCCTCTAAACACTGGTAAGGTGACAAAAACCGCAATTAAAGCACCGTTCACTATGGCATACACAAATCATATGGAAGCGTCGTTACTGCGAAAAATCTTATATACTGTTACAGTACGAATGTGACAATGACTGCATGCTTTTACTCCATAATGAATACGGTCAGAATGCATTTTTGAAATTTTATCGACAGCCCTTGATTGATCAATTCGAATAAAGTTTACCTCTGATGATAGACCCAGTCGAAGAACCAATTTTCCGAACCAACCAACCAACCTTCACTTCTTAAACAGAAACCATTCCAAAATTCAAGTGTAGCAGATAACGCCAAACGTTGGTCAGTTAATGAGGCCATTTAAAAGGTAATACGTTTCTGGGCAGTTATGTCTAAGCTAAAGACAGCGATGCAGGGATTGTGGGCCTACAATTTGTAGCTGTCCCGAAAAATGCGTTACTGAAATTGTTTAACGTAACCGAACCTTACCCTTCGAACGGAGGATAGCCATACTAAACGAGATTCACGGAAGAATTCAGTGATGCCTGAAGGATGACGACAGAAAGTAATGAACATAACATCCTAATTTGGATCATTAAGTAAAATTCTGGGGAGGAATCCCGCATAATGAAATTGTAAAACTTTTCCGCTTGCGTCGTTATAACTCTGAACAGGCGACAACATCTGTCGGTTTCAATCACGCATAACTGGGGAGGGGGGCGAGGGAGCAGGGACGTCATAATTTAATAGTTTGCTTTACAGTTTATAGGTTGCCTGGCTCAAACTCCACGCCAGTTAAAACTTTATTTATTAACTGCCAACTGCCTTGAGCAAAGAATTCAATACGCGTCTTTGCAACAAAAGGAAATACGAGTAGCAGGCCCTTGACCTGCGAATAATGGGGCCAACACAGTGTATTGCTATGGTTATGTTAAAGCGTGCGATGCATACGGCCATATTGTATGATGCACGCGCTTTACGGCGTCGATTTTTCTTAAGCCACCTGTTCGCTGACTAAAAATCAGCACAAAATGGTGCCTGGATCACTTTAACTCGCCATTAATCAGCGACGAATCGCGTCTGCCATTCCTCGGGATTTCGAGCCCCCCCCCCTCTTTTCTCTAAACGCGGTCTTCGCGGCTCCTGATATAATCGTCCCATCCTCAGGGTGGGCAACCAAGAGGCCTCGTCTATCCTCGACGGTACCTGCCGACCAGCTCCCGTGCCTGGTCCACCGTAGCTTCTCCTATCTATTTTCGACAATAATGTTCTTCACTTCTGTTCGCCGTCTGATCAACGTGCTGCGGATGTCGTCGCGACATGAGATTTCCCAGCATTCCTTTTAAGCCACTGACTCAGTGACATACAGAGTTATGTTCAGCTTAAATGAGTGGCCATTCTCATAGGCATACAACGTTGACCATATTATCTTCGTATTGATACTTCAGTTCATTCGCAGTCCGACTACTGTAAAGTTTCTCCTGAGCTTATTACCTTTTCAGTGAACCTTACGTGATTGACCTGTTCAGCATTGATATTAATTTCACCCTTCCAATTAATCTTCTGGAACAACATTTCTAAACAAGCACTGCATGCTTTGGGGAAATGACGTTCCTGTTTCAAATCTGCTTTAAGGCAATCTGGAGGGCTGTGTTATAAAAATAAAAAGTAAACGTACGTGGAAAAAATTTAAATAAAAAACGATGCAATGCTTTAACCTTGCAGCACATTGCAAAAAACAGCATTCTGTATCAATTCTAAGCCATGCCGTCCTCCTTTGACATGTGCCAATATTCTCTGCGAGATAATGCAAAGAGCTACCGCAAATATTCAAGTTCAACAAAGATTCATCACCAAAAGAGCAATTTTTTAAGGTCCTCTCTTAAAAACATGCAAAATAATGATTCGTTGTTATTTATTAAATTTTACATGTAACTGGAACACAACCCATATTACGAAAATTAAACCTATTTAGTAGAATTATCCATCCATTTACCGATTAGTAATATTTTTTGAAGCACGAGGGTCTGTCAGCCTAAGAGCAGCTATGTTAGAAAACTTTTATAAAAAAATTAAGTACGCCATCCCAGTTGAGAAACTGAACGGTTTAGGGGAATACAACATCGACACTATTTTCAATTCTATATATGAACAATGAAATCAAAGACATTAACAGTCAGGTATTACAATGAATAGTAACTGTTATTAAAAAAAAGAAAGTAGCTGTCCACTGCACTGTTAGGTGACTCATTCTGATGTTTTTCAAAATAGCAGCAGAAATGCCTTCAGGAAAGATACGCATGCATGCAAACCTGTTGTAGAACTATGCCAAGACTTTGCGGTTTCATACAATTGGACAAAACAAAACTACCCGCTAATACCCAAATAAATTACCCGCTAATTGCCGTATTTTTCAGACCGTAAGGCGCACTTAAAATCCTTATATTTGCAAAAAAATCGCCATTGCGCCCTATAGTCCGGTGCGCCTTATATATGAATTTTGGCCTCAATCCTTTATACAAAAGATGCTCCTTTTGTTTCTGCGATGTCGTTCTCTCCATGGTTATCTTACTAAATTCATAAAATGGTTTGATTTCGTAGAAAGACTCGTTTGTAATTGGGTCTTATTTACATTTCAATGGAACGAGTCTATGGTAGAACTCAGCTTGTCACGTCGGCAGGCTCTTTTCGATCGCAAAAAATCAATAGACCGGTATCATAAACTTTGTACTGCGCCGTTTTGTCGGGGTACGTTGAATGGCGGAGTTTTGTCCTGGACCGTTTTGTTACGGCGCCTGTCTAGGCAATTGCCGACTGCGGTTTTGAATTTGATCTTATTCAAGCGCGAGGTTTTCTGGTGACCATAAATCAATCACGGGACAGTGGTCATTCGGTGATCAAGATGAAACCTTTTCATCTGCCCCGCTAATTTTCGTGATATGCATTGTGCTTCAACAACATTACCGCATAAGGACCCCAAAATGGTATCTGCTAAGAGACATGCTTACGAAGAGGATTTCAAACTCAAGGCCATCAGCCACGCAGTACAACATGGGAATAAAATAGCTGCGAAAAAATTCAACATTAATGAATCAATGGTACGGAAGTGGAGGAAGCAAGAAGGTGACCTGCTCCAAGTAAAGAAGAACAAACAGAGTTTCCGAGGGAACAAGATGGCCACAGTTAGAGGACAAAATTGAGCAGTGGGTTATTGAACAGAGAACAGCAGGAAGATGCGTCTTTACAGTCTCCATTCGACTCAAGACAAATATGATCGTACGTGATATGAAGATCAATGACTTTCGAGGAGGTCCTTCTTGGTGCTTCCGTTTTATGAAAATGCGTTATCTCTCCATTCGCGCAAGAACTACCATCTCGCAACAACTGCCAAAGGACCACGAAGAAACGTTGGCCATCTTTCGCAACTATTGCCAGAACAAGATCACTGAAAAGGATATTCAGCCACACCACATCACCATCATGGACGAGGTCCCTCTCACCTTTGACATCCCCGTGAGCCGAACTGTGGAAAAAACAGGGACTGCTACGGTATCTATACACACCACAGGGTACAAGAAATCATCCTTCACTGCAGTTCTCAGTTGCCAGGCCAATGGCCAGAGACTACCTCCCATGGTCATTTTCAAAAGGAAGACTTTACCAAAAGAAAAATTTCCAGCTGGGGTCGTTGTCAAGATAAACCCAAAAGGCTGGATGGACGAGGAGAAGATGAGCGAGTGGCTGAGAGAAGTTTACATCAAGAGACCGGATGGCTTTTTCCACACATCTCCGTCATTATCGATCTACGACTCTATGCGCGCCCATCTCACAAAAACTGTCAAAAACAAAGTGAAGCAAACCAATTCGGAGCTTGCCATCATTCCGGGAGGATTGACCAAAGAACTCCAACCACTAGATATTGGTGTCAACA